TGCTCATTCATTAAAGGAGGGCCAAGCAGGGTCACTGGACCCTCACAGGATTATCCAGCCACTCTTCCCAGCCAACTGTATGTAATTTGGCCCTAATAACACATGGCCTCCTGGATGGGGGGAGAGCTAAAGTACACAATCTGGGGAAGGCTAGGAAGAGAAGGCATGATCCATGCTGGGTAAAGGCTTTCCAGTGCGCATACCTTCAGGTCATACATACACCTTGGCAACTCCTCAGTTATCTCAGTAAGTAAGCTCACTAAATTCATTGGTTCCCCAGTAAAAAAAAAAAAACCGAAAATGTTCTGCCCAGAACTCCATGTACTTCCTAAGGACGGTCCTTGGTAACCAAGTTTCAGTGTTGTTACTTGTTTGTAAAAGGGCAGTGGAGCATGTGTGCTGGATTATTAGGAGTGCTTTGGCGTGGCAACTCCTCAGTTATCTCAGTAAGTAAGCTCACTAAATTCATTGGTTCCCCAGTAAAAAAAAAAAAACCGAAAATGTTCTGCCCAGAACTCCATGTACTTCCTAAGGACGGTCCTTGGTAACCAAGTTTCAGTGTTGTTACTTGTTTGTAAAAGGGCAGTGGAGCATGTGTGCTGGATTATTAGGAGTGCTTTGGCGTAAAGAGAACCAGAAGCAAACATACATGATCTAAGCCATGGCTGTATGATCCTACTCCTACCCCATTCTCCAAAAATCATGAAGAAAAAGAGAAAAAGTTTTGTAGAATCCAAAACCATGAGAAGGCCGTGGATGGAGTCCAGTAGTGAGGGAGTAGCCTAGCACATGCAAGGCTTGGGCTTCACCCCTGTCATCACGTGGAGACACACAAGAGACAGTGAGAGCAAGGGCGTGCCAAGAACAGCGTACAAGAGAGCATTCTCTTTTCTTTTCTAAAATTATTATCATATGTGAATGAATGTATTGTCTGCATGTGTGTAAGTGCACATTTGCCGTGCAATGCCCACGGAGGTCAGAAGAGTGCATCGGATTCCCTGGAACTGGGGTTATAGACGGTTGATAGCCCCAACATGGGTGCTGGATTCGAATGACTTTTTTGGTCTTTTTGAGACAGAGTCTCCCTGTAGCCCCAGCTGGCCTGGAACTCATTGTGTAGACCAGGCTAGCCTTGACCTCAGAGATCTGCCTGCCTCTGCCTCTTGAATGCTGGGACTGAGGGTGTGCACCACCACACCTGGGTCTTCATGGCTTTTTTAAAGCAACAGTTCACTGTATGTGTTATGATTAAAAAACAAAATGGAAATCAATCCTCTGAGCCCCAAGCCTGAGGACAGAGCAGGGTTAGCTGCCTGGCCACCACACACTGCTCAGAACTCTGTAGTGAAGTACTGAGGAGATTCTCTTATTACAGTCACTGTAGAAAGTAAAATCAAGTGTTCAGAGAAGCATCCACTTAGAACATTACACTGTGTATGTACCTGTTGTTTCATTCTCTCTAGAAATCTCAGGAGTTGACTCAGAGGAAGGACCACAGGAAGCACCAGTTTCCTGTTCACGAAAGCTTCCCTGTGTGTCCTCTTCAGGATGGCCTTCTGGTTGATGATTTGCGATCTCAGCCTCATCTTGAGGGCTAAAAAGAATAGATTCTTATGTTAAAAACTGATTGTGAAGTAAGTTTTCGTTTCTTTTATTTTGATACACTGTCTGGCTATGTAGCCCAGGCTATCTTGAACTGTATTCTTTTGATCAAGCTTCTCAAATGAAGGCCTGTAAGTCACACCTGACTACACTATTTTTTTTTTTTTTTGGAGACAGGGTCTCCCTGTAGCCCCAGCTGGCCTGAACTCACTATGTAGACCAGGCTGGCCTTGAACTCACAGAGATCCGCCTGCCTCTGCCTCCTGAGTGCTGGGATTAAAGGAGTGCGCCACTGCATTCAGCTCTCCATTTTTTTCCCCCCGCTCCGGTCAGGGTCTCTTCACTGCACCTGGGGCTCATGGATTCAGCTAGACTGGCTGGTTCAAGAGCTCTGGGCATCTGCCTGTCTCTGACGCCCACCCCCAGTGCTGGAACTACAGGTGTGTGCTCCTGAGCTTGAGTTTTACATGGGTCCTAGTATCTGAACTAAAGTCTTCATCATGTTTACATGTAAGCAATTTACCCACTGAGCCATCATCCCAGACCCTTAAAGGCCACTTCAGAATAAACTGCCCCCGTCCTTTCTTTTTTGTGGTAGTGGGGTCTGAACTTAGGACCTTGCAAATGTGAGGCGAGCACGCTGCCACTGAGTTATTTCCCAGTGCTTTTGTTATTAAAAATTTTAAACACTTATTTATTTACTTGCTGAGCCATCTTGCTGATCCCTTTTCATTTTTCATTTTGAGACAGAACCTTTTTGTCCAGGTTGGCCTTGACCTTTGATCCTCCTGGCTCAGCCTTAGGAGCAGCTGGAATTAAAGAGGCCTGAGCCAGCAGCCTGTGCTTAGCCTTTGCCATTCGTATGTGAAAGAACCTGACTTGTATGATTTGTCTCCTTAATATATATATTTTAAATATTTTATTTACTATTTTTATTTTATGTGTGTGAGTGTATTGCCTGCATGTGTATAAGTGAACGTGTGTCATGCAATGCCCACAGAGGTCAGAAGAGGCGCTGAATCTCTTGGAATTGGAATTACAGACAGATGTTAATCTCCATGTGGGTGCTGGTGATCAAATTCAGCCAATCAAATAATAATGAGCAGGTCAAAGAATAATGAATAGACCGGCGTGATCCATTCATTACTATCAGTAGTTCCCAGACAGTTTCAGCTACTCCTCCTGCTAGCAGCAGCCACTGAGGAGCTGTTCCAGTCCTTTCCCTACCTCTACTTCCTCCTCGCCCCTCCCTCCTTTTCTTTTTCTTGCAGTGCTGAGGTTCAATGCAGTCTTGCTTATGCTAAGCCAGTGTTCTGCCAATGAGTTAGACCTTTAGCCCCCAATCCATTATTTCCTTAAGGCTGGCAACACAATGTTATTGTTTCCCATACCTTCTGAATGGAGTACTAGGAAAGGGAAAAATTCCTCTTATTATTCACATTGTCTGGGAAATGTAACATAGTACTTCATTTTTTTCTCTTTCGGAAGTGACGCTTGATTCCTTCAGCATCCTCCGAAGTTGCTAACAAATTGTTAGTATTATAATTTTTAAAATTTAAATTGCTAGGGCATGTCGCTAAGCAGTAGGTAGCAAGCCTAGAAACCAGTGATCCTATTTTAGGTTTTCAGGCAACAAATGAGAGACTGTTCTCACTACCAAAAACCTATTTTTAATACAATACAGAAAATTCCTCCAAAAAATTTTTTAAATTGCATTATTATTATTGTGTGTGTACGGTGTGTATATAGGTGTGCGTGTACCACAGTGTGAGTGTGTGGAGGGCAGAGGACAATGAGGTTTGGGGCTTGAACTCAGGTTGTCAGGCTCACAGGGTGAACACTGCCTGTCACCTGCCGAGCCATCCCCCAGCACTAGGTTTTTTTGCGATAAGCCAGCTGTGGTGGTTCACAACAATTCTAGCATCTGGGAAGGAAGTATCAGGAGTTCAAGGTCATCTTCAGCTATAGAGAGTTCAAGGCCAGCCTGGGCTAAATGTTGCAGAACAAAAACAATACCCCAACCCAGCCCAACCCAACCCAACCCAACCCAACCCAGTCAGCATAATTTGTGAACTTTCAGGAGACAACCTAAATATCTGTGCCTTCGGCATGACTGTTTTATTTGGGTGGATCATTTTGGTATTATCCACTGCCAACTTCTTAAGTGCTAAGTAATGGCATGTGCTATAAATGTATTTTTTTTCTTAACTCTTACAGCATACCTGTGACACAGACTATTTAATTCATTCTTACAGGAGACTAAGGTGTAGCTTGGGAAGGCTATAATTTGCTCAAGATTCTTTAGTTATGCTTGGATTGGAATCCAGTACATTGCTGAGCCTGAAGCTTGCTCATTGAAAAAACATTATTTATAGGCCTGGCTTGGTGGCACACGCCTTTAATCCCAGCTCTATGAATTCCAGGCCAGCCTGGTTTATGTAGTAAGTTCCATGCCAGCTGGGGCTACAGGGAGACCCTGTCTCAAAAAAGACAAAAAAATTTATTTGTTAATTTTTATTTTATGTGTTTAATTGCACCCATGTTGTGCAATGCCTGTGGAGGCCAGAAGAGGGCATCAGATCTGGAAGTGGAGTTATGGATGGTTGTTAGCAGCCATGTGGGTGCTGAGTCCCCTCAAGAGCAGCCACTGTTCTTAACCGCTGAGTGACCTCTCCAGTCCCCCCCCCCCTTTTTTTGAGACAGGGTCTCCCTGTAGCCCCAGCTCTCCTGGAACTCACTATGTGGACCAGGCTGGCCTTGAACTCACAGAGATCCACCTGCCTCTGACTCCCGAGTGCTGGGATTAAAGGTGTGGGCCACCACTCCCGGCAAATGCTTTTTTTTTTTTTGGTCTTGTTTTTTGATATAGGGTCTCCCTATAGCCCCAGCTGTCCTGGACTCCCTATGTGGACCAGGCTGGCCTGAACTCACAGAGATCTGCCTGCCTCTGCCTCCCGAGTGCTGGGATTAAAGGCGTGTGCCACCATGCCCAGCCTCCTATTTTTTTTTTAAATAGGATCTCACTATATAGCCTTGGCTGGCCTTGAACTCAGAGACCTACTTCTGTCTCCACCTCCTGAGCACTGGGATTCAAGGTGTGAACCACCATCCTTGGCCAATTAATTAGTTAATTAATATTTTATGTGTATGAGTGTTTTGCCTACATGTATGTATGCATACCCATGTTGTACAATGTTCACAGAAGCCAGAAGAGGAAGTTGGATCCCCTAGAACTAGAGTTACAGACCACTGTCAACCACCATGTGGATGTTGGGAACAGAACCTGGTTTCTTTGCAGAAGCAGCTCTGAGCCATCTGTCTAGTCCACAGCTTGCTGTTTGTAAAGAGCTGCCCAGCTCTGTGAATGTTCCCTTCCCTTAGTTCTTACCTGCTCGGAACATTCTCAGGCATCTCTTCTTTATTCCTTTCTGTATCCGTCACTTCCCCAGAATTTATTCCATTTGGCTCAGGCGTGATAAGCATTTCATAAAAAATACTCTCCATTCTTTTCAACTATAAAATAAGAAAAAAATTCTTTCAGAGCATTCTTAGCACAAGTAATACTAGAAGCGCTGAAATGATTACGAACCCCAGCTGGCCTTGAACTCAGAGATCTGCCTGCCTCTGCCTCCTGAGAGCTGGGATGAAAGGCGTGCACCACCACACTTGGCTATGCCCCTAAATTATACCTTATATCAAGTATTTGTGGATAATACACTTAGATTCAAGTATATTAAAAACATTAAAAAATTAACATCATTTACTAATGAATACAAAAAGTTATTTATACAAAGAGCTGGTACAGCAGACCTAGCTATTGGGCTATGCTCTTTTTAAAAAAAAATTATTATTTTTATTTTCCGTGTATACGTATATTACCTGCATGTATATAAGTGAACCTGTATCATGCAATGCCCGAGGAGGTCAGAAAAGGGTGTCAGATCCCCTGGAACTGGAGCTATGGATGGTTGTTAGCGGCCATGTGGGTGGCGGGAATCAAACCTGGATCTTCTGCAAGGGCACTGTGTTCTTGACCACTGAGCCATCTCTCCAGCCTCTGAGCTTTTCTTTAACATTCTTTTTTTTTGGATCTTTTTGAGACAGGGTCTCCCTATAGCCCCAGGCTGGCCTGGATTCACTATGGAGACCAGGCTGGTCTCAAACTCACAGAGATCCCCTGCCTCTGCCTCCCGAGTGCTGGGACTAAAGGCACATGCCACCATGCCCAGTGTTCTTTAACATTCTTTTTTTTTGGTCTTTTTGAGACAGGGTCTCCCTGTAGCCCCAGCTGTCCTGGATTCACCATGGAGACCAGGCTGGCCTCGAACTCACAGAAATCTGCCTGCCTCTGCCTCCTGAGTGCTGGGATTAAAGGTGCGCCACCGCACCCGGCTCTTTAACATTCTTTAATTGACTGTATATTGCATTTTCCTTCTTCATGACTCTGAATTCCGTCTTTGAGCAGGGGCAATGCCAACCTCTGTGTGTTCCAGTTTTAGTGCTGCTAAACCTGCGCTTCGCTTCCAATTAATGCAGATTTTTATGTGGTAAGTATATCAAATTCAAGAATCTAGAACTCCATTTAGACGTGGGGCCTCTCTGAGGGAAAGACACTTCATCACTGTCTCATAGCACTCGGCCTGGCCAGAACAGCTCCGCTCCGTGTAGGAGCTGCCATCTCTCTACCTTTCTGCTGATGTCTGTCCTCGGGGGTTCAGCTTCTTCTGGCTGGACAGGTTCTGCTGCCGAAGTTTCATGGTCTGGCTTTACATCATTTTCTCTATGGACAGTGTCCAGTTCCTTAACGTTATCATCCTTTCTTCTAGTCTGTCCAAAAAACATATAGCATGAGTGTTGTGACTGCATGGATGCCCGCTTAGTCCAGAAGAGGACGCTGAATCTCCTAGAATTGGGAGTGAAGGGTGGTTGTTAGCCTCCATGTGGTGCTTGGGTACCAAAGCTGGGTCCACTGCAAGAGCAATTAGTTCTTTTAACCAATAAGCCATCTCTCCAGGCCTCCTTCCCCCTTTTAAAGAGTATTTTATATTATGTATGTGTATGTCAGTGTGGGGTTTGTGCAGTGTTGAAAAAAAGGTAGATGCAGGGGTCAAATCCCCTGGGGCTGAAGTTCCAGGCCGTTGCACGCCATCTGATGTGGGTCCTCTGCAAGAGCAGTAAGCTCTCTTAACTGCTCTACAGCCCCCGCCCCCCCCTCTTTTTTTGGTCTTTTTAAGACAAGGTCTCCTTGTAGCCCTAGCTGGCCTTGATTCACTATGGAGACCAGGCTGGCCTCAAACTCACAGAGATCCCTCTGCCTCTGCCTCCTGAGTGCTGGAATTAAAGGTGTGCGTCACCACGCCCAGCTCTTTCCCCTCTTTAAAAATCACTCATTTTGCTATTTGGAGAAAGTGACTTTTTTTTTTTTTTTGGTCTTTTTTGAGACAGGATCTCCCTGTAGTCCCAGCTGGCCTAGAACTCACTATGTAGACCAGGCTGGCCTTGAACAAAGATCCACTGCCTCTGCCTCCCAAATGCTGGGATCAAAGGCATGTGCCACTGTCCCTGGCTGAATGCCACATTGTTTAACCGTCTTGGTGTAATGTCCACCAGCAAAGACTGCTCTTGGTTAGATGGAAGGAGATGCGTACCAGAGCAGAGAAGCACTTTCAGCTGATGCAGTTTATACCGTTTCAGATACTCTTTCCCTGTTGAGCACAAAGAACAACCAAAAGAAATGGGACTGTCATGGTTCACTCAGCTGAGGCAGAGAAACGAAAGAGCAGATTTAGAACTCTTGTTTTGAGTGATCTTTCTTGTTACAAATTAGGTCCCATTAAATTAGGTTACAGAGTAAGACAGACGTTCTTTTGGTAGTGATAAGGATCAGACTGAGGGCCTTGCATGTTCTAGAAAGCATTCTACTAAGACACATTTTTGACAGGCAGAGGCAGGCAGATCTCTGTAAGTTCAAAACCAGCCACAGCCACATATGGTACCAGGGCATCCAACAATTATTTTGGTTTTCCTTTCTTATCTGGGAGTTATTTTCATTTTAATAGTCATATTTTATTACTATAAAAATTAAATAATATAAAAGTTATCTCTGTGGTAGACTTACTAACATCCATCAAACATGTAACTCTATGGTTCTAAAAGTAAGGTGAGGGTATGGAGAGATGGCTGTTTTTGCAGAGGACCTGGGTTCAATTCCCAGTACCCACATAATGGCTAACAACCATCTGTAATTCCAGTTCTAGGGGATCCAACGCCCTTTTTTGAACTCCATGGGCATTGCAAGACATAGGTGCACTTATATACATGCAGGCAATGCACTCACATACACAAAATAATAAATAAAATTAAAAAAAATTTACAAATTGGAAACAAAACAAAGCAGAAAACAAACTAAGGTGAACCGTCACAGTGGTGCCTGTAATCCCAGTCTTCTGAAGGATGGTGTAGGACAGCAATCTGAGGTCTGCTTGAGCTACAAAGCCAGGTCAAGACCAGCCAGGGCGAAGCAGCAAGACCCAGTCTTAAAATTAAAAAAAAATTATTTATTTTTAAATTTATTTTTATTTATTTTTAATGTGTATGAGTGCTACGCCTGCACGTATGTAAGTGCACCTGTGTTGCGCAATGCCCGAGGAGGTCAGAAGATGGCATCAGATCCCCTGCAACTGGAGCTATGAACAATTGTTAGCTGTTCTGTGGGTGCTGGGAATTGACCCCGGTCCTCTGTAAGCATAGTCCATGTCCTTAACTGCTGAGCCAGCTCTCCAGGCCCCCTGAAGACTGCTCTTAAATTCAGCATTACAGCAGTGGTTCTCAAAGTACCATCCTTGGAGAAGCAACATCAGTATCACTTGAAGATTTGCTTAAAATTCAGATTTTCAGGCCTCACCACAGAGCAATGGGTTACAAAGTATAGGACCAGGACACAGGAAAGTATGTTTTCACCAAGTATTGTGTCATGTCTCCCTTATTAATAAATTAATTGAGACAAAAGGTGCATTCCCTTGCTGGACATGGTGGTTCATGCCTTTTGTCCCAGAACTCAGGAGGCAGAGGCAGGTGACCTGGTAACATGGGAGACTGGGGCAAGAAACACCTAGGTGTAAGGCCTGCCTGGGCTACAGAATGAGTTCAAGGCCTGTCTGAACAACTTAGTGAGGCTCTGTCTCAAACATTAACATTTTTTTGGACTTATTTTTATTTTACATGTATGAGCATTTTGCTCGCATGGATATAAGTGCACCTATGTTGTGCAATGCTCTCAAGAGGCCAGGGAAGGCACCGGATCTCTTGTAACTGGAATCATAGGCTGTTAGCCACCATGTGGGTGCTGGGAACCAAACCTGGGTCCTCTGCAAGACCAACCAGCGCCTCAATCACTGAGCCATCTCTCTAGCTCCAAAATAAACACAGACAAAAAAGACATTTTATTTTTTTTGTTGTTTTTTGAGACAGGGTCTCCCTGTAGCCACAGCTACCTGGAACTTATAGAGATCTGCCTGCCTTTACCTTCTGAGTGCTTCTGAGGCATGTGCCCCCACACCCAGCAAAAAAAAAAAAGACTTCTTAAATTATATGTCTGTGTGTGTGTCTGTACCTGAGTACAGGTGCCTGTGAAGGTAGAGGTGTTGGTAGCTCCTCCTGGAGCTTGAGTTACAGGCATGATGTGTTTGCTGGGAACTGAACAGAGGTCCTCTGCAAGAGCAGTGCTTCCTCTTCACCACTGAGCCATCTTTCCAGCCCCACAAAATGAAAAGTGTTTTTTTTTTCACTTTTCTTTTGGGGGACAATTTGAGATAAGGTTTCCCTGAAGCCCCAGCTGGCCTGGAGCTCACTATGTAGACCAGACTGGCCTCAATCTCACAGAGGTTAGCCTGCCTTTGCCTCCAGAGCACTGGGATTAAAAGCATGTGCAACCATGCCCAGCCCAAAATAACAACTTTTAAAAGAGGTCTGGAGATGGATGTAACTAAGTGGTGGAGCGTTAGAGAACTTGCCTACTGTGCCTGAGCCCATAGGGTCAATTCCTAGTAATACACACACACACGCACCAGAAAATGTAACTCAGTGATTGCTGCTTTCTTTGCAGTACACGAAATAAATCGGTTTTCCTTAAAATGAAGGAAGATTATTCGATTATGTATTAGATTTATACATAACAATAACTAAAAGCAATTGAGAAATCAACATACCTGATTAACCCTGAAAGGATTATCCCTCACAGTTGAAGGACTTTGCAAGGGTGACTGGTCGGAAGCACCAATAACATTTGGCCCCTTCTTCTTCTCCCGCAGGCATGCCTGCTGGTGTCTCCTGATTCTTTCCATTTGCTCCTCAACAGTCATCCTAGGTCGAGTACTTTCAGCCAAACAGAGCTGTTCCACTGCACTTCTTGGCCTCTCCTTAAATTTAAAAAAAAGTCTGTGAATATATACAACTTCTGGGCTGGATTCCCTGCACCTAACAAAACCAAGTACATGCTTGTAATCCCAGTACTTGGGAATCAGAGGCAGGGGGATCAGTAATTCAAGGTCATCCTCAGCTATATACAGAGTTCGAAGCCAGACTGGGCTACTGGTGATGCTCTCTCAATTAAAATGTCATCAAGTCTATTTCTTTATTTTGTTTTCCAAAATCAAAAGTGGAGACTTTGGATGCCGATAAGGAACAACAGAAAGGCAGCTTCAGTTATTTTACTCTTCTTTTTTAGAACACAGGGACTTGGGGCTGGATGTGGTGGCGCACGCCTTTAATCCCAGCAATTGGGAGGCAGAGGCTGCCGAATCTCTGTGAGTTCAAGGCTAGCCTGGTCTATCTAGTGAGTTCCAGGACAGCTAGGGCTATAGGGAGACCCTGTCTCAAAAAAGATAAAACAAAACAAAAAACAAACAAAAAACACCAGAAGACACAGCCTCCCATATTCCCCCCTAAGCTAGGTACGATGGCACACACTTTTAGTAACAGCATTCTGTAGGCAGATGCAGGCTGATCTCTATTAGATCAAGGTCAGCTTGGTCTACATAGTGAGTTCCAGGCCAGCTGGAGCTATAGCTGGGGCTACAAGGGAGGCCATGTCTTAAAAAGATGGGAAAAAAAATTTTTTTTTAAGTTATCCCGAACTCCTCCCATATCTACCCCACCTCCTACCCCAACTTTATGTCCTCTTTAAAAAAAAAAAATAAGCCCCAGGGCGTGGTGGCGCAGGCCTGTACTCCAGCACTTAGGAGGCAGAGGCAGGCGGATCTCTGTGAGTTCAAGGCCAGCCTGGTCTACATAGTGAGTTCCAGGACAGCTGGGGCTACAGGGAGACCCTGCTTCAAAAAAACAACAAACAAACAAACAAACAAAAACCAACCCATTGAGTCCAATTTGTGGCACCCACACCCTCTTGGTATAAAGTTGTCATCTAGAGTGTGGCTGACCAAAATATCTTGAGTTTTTTTGAGACATGTCTCAGCTGGCCTCCTGGAACCCACTGTAATAGACCAGCTTGCCTTGAACTCAGAGATCTGCCAGCCTCTGCCTCCCAAGTGCTGGGACTGAAGGCGTGCGCCACCAGGCCCAGCTAAAACTCTTCCTTCTTTAAGTTGTCTTGGGTATGGTGTTTTATCACAGCAACAGAAAAGTAGCTAATGCAAACACATTCTAGAATGTGTGGTACAGAATCCACAGGTTTCTTTGCATCCTTGGTCGGAGTCAGCAGTAACGGCTATGATGGTATATGCTAACATTTGGGAGGCTGAGGCAGGAGGATTAAGTTTGACCACAGTGAGAGCTACAAAGAGAGATTCTGTGTTTCAAGGAGAAAAACAGCCTATTTCTCTAAATAACAGAACTTCAAAACCATGACATTAATAGTAATAGTAGCTATTAGTTTTACCCCACAAGCATTATTTCTTATCTTGGGGGAAATTTTGAGACAGGTCTCACATAGCCCAAGTTGGCCTCAAATTCATGATGTTCCTACCTGAGTCTCCCGAGTAGTTAGGATTACAACTGTGTGCCACCATGTTAGGCTGGAACACCGTATTACAAACTTGCTATGTATACCATGCTGACCCCAAATTATAGTGCTCCTCCTGAGTGCTGAGATTATAGGCATGCAACACCATACCTGGTGGGTTTTTTTCCCCTTCAAAGATTTATTTTATTTTAATTGTGTGTACGTTTGTACATGCCATGTGTGTGTGCAGGTGTCTGCAGAGGTCAGTGTTGTTGGAACCCTTGAAGCTGGAGTTACAGGCAGTTGTGAGCTGCCCAATGTGGGTCCTGAGGTCCTCTGGAAGAGCAGTAAGCTCTCTCAATCACTGAGCTTGTGGCTTGTGGACAGTCTGAGCTAAGTTAGCAAGACTGTCTCAAAACTTACCTCCCCAACAAAGACCTGAACAAAATATGTATCGTTATTTGTATTACCTTTCAGTCTTCTCTTACACTTTAAAAAATTAAGTATCAAATAAACAGATTTTTCTTTCCTCTGAAAGAAACTGGGGCTTGAACCCAGGGCCTTGCACTTTCTAGGCAAATGCTCTACTCTACCACTGACCTCAGCCCAAGTAAATCGTTTATAAAGATGAAAAGGCCTGGGCATGGTGGAGCATGCCTGCAGCCCCAGCCCTAGGCAAGCTGAGGCAGGAGGATCATAAGCTTGGTTGCAGGGCCAGCCTAGTCTATACAGGGTCTCAAAAGCATACAAAAAGTAAGCCAGTGAGATGGCTCAACAGGTAAAGGTGCTTCTTGTACAAATCTGGTGACCTGAGTTCAAACTCTGGAACCACGTAAGGGTGGAAAAAGAGAACCGAAAAGTTGTCCTTTGACTTCCACAGACAGACAGACAGACACTCGAGATTCCCCCATCAGACCGACACTAGCAGTTCCCCCATCAGATACAGATAGACAGACAGACACATACATACACTAAAATAAAAAAAAATTAAAGAGAATTGTGGGGGAACAAGGTAAAGAATCCTCAGTGTTTTCCCTGAAAATCTGACAGGTTTTTAATCTGAATTAAGCTGAAAACATGAAATTTAACATTTCCCTGCTATAAGTCACATTTTTTCAGAGTAACCAGAGAATTGACAAACTTTAGCCCTCCCACAGCAGAAGGTCCTTGTAACTTGGGGGAGATGGAAATCCATCTAACTACAGGGGATGGGGAGGCCCACAGGACACATGTGCAATTCTTTTTTTTTTGAGGCAAAGTCTCATTTAGCTCAGGTTGGTTTGGAACTCACTGTATTGCTAAGGAACTCCTGATCCCTCCGCCTCCAAATACCACATACTGGGATTACAAGTGAGTGCCACCATACCTCACTTTCATTATCAAGGCAGTTCTTGAAAGGATCAAGGGATGTGATGCAAGGTAGCTATCAGAGAACAGCTTCCCCAAACTGTGGTAAGATTTAAGCCAAGGCTGATCAAAAGACACCAGGGTTAGGTCTGCCTTCTGAGGTGATTCAGAAACAAAGAGGAGCGTGTTTTTCTTTGAGTATGTTTCAATAATTCTGATAAAACTCTAAAAATGGAAAGATGTAAGGGAGCAGTAAGCAGGTTTGAGATTTTTGTCAGGCAGGAAGTTTCTAGCTATGTACCGTTCTCAAATCCATCATCTTCTTCGTTTTCCTCAAGGTCACGTAGGAAGCTATTGTGGAAGACTCAGGTGTTGGTGACTTTGTTCTTGGAGGGACAACTCCAACTGGAAAGTGGGAACCTGAAAAGCAAAGCAGTGGTCAGTTCCTCAGCAGTTCACACAGCATGCGCCCTTCTGACGTATGTCCCCGCTGAGGCTTTGCTTAGTTATGTATTTTTGTGGTGTGAGGACTGAATCTGATTAGCAAACAAGTGCTCTACCATCAAGCCACCTCAGCCCTTCTGAGTTCCTACAACAGAAGGCAAATCTGTTACTGAAATGAGCTGGGGCTTAGCGTTAGGATCTGAGGTCAACTTCCAGTATGGATGTCAGGTGGTTCACAACCACCTGTAACTGCAGTTCCAGGGCATCCAGCACCATCATCTGACCCCTGTGGGCACCTACACACATGTGGCTTACATTCACAAAAACACGTAAGAGTTTAAAAAAGATTTATTTTTATTATTTTTAATTATGTGAATGTGTGTCTGTGCACATGAGTGCTAGTGCCCCTGGAGGCCAGAGGCACTAAATCATCTGGAACGGGAGTTACAGGTGGTTGCGAGTGGCCCAACTGTGGGTGCAGGGAACTGAAAGTGGGTTCCCTGTAAGAGAGGGACTTGATCTTAATTGCTGAGCCACCTCTCCAGTCTCAAAATAAATCTTTTAGAGCTTCAACACAATCAATGACATTACTAGTTAAATTTAAGTGGTGGAGCATACTTCTAATTCCAGCACACAGGAAGCTGAGAAGCAGGAGCGCTGAGTTTGAGACTGAGCTAGTTTACATAAACAAGACCCTTACTCAAAAATGACATTAAACAAATTAAGTACAGGGGTGCTAGAGAGTGCTTAGCAGTTAAGAGTGCTGGTGCTTGGTTTCCAGCACCCGTAAGTGTTCTTAACTCCAGGTGCAGGGGATCTGATACCCTCTTCTGGTCTCTGTGGGCACCAGGCACACACAGGCACACTTACATACATGCAGGCAAAACACTCATACACATAAAATAACTGAAACCTTAAAAACATTAAGCACAGGGCTTTCCTGGCAGTTGTTAGCTAAAACTCAAGAGGGTCTCAGAAAATTCACAGAGGCCGCCTTCCTACCCTTTTCTTTGCGAGCTGGTTCTGGTGAAGGACATTTTTGCTCCTAAAATTTCCTTGTAATGTGGACAAGTTCACAGAAAGCTTGAATTACATTCATCTTCATCTTTGCTGGTGCCTCCAAGCATGTGACCTGAGTTGCCATGCTAACTGCTGTCCTTCCTGTGTCACTGGTCTATGATGGTCAAGGTCAGCTTTACTGGCAATCAAGATGCAATGCTCTCATCTCCTGTTAGTCTTACACCAAGAAGCTGGCTAATCCTTTCTGTGAAGTTAACATAATTGTCTTTTCAGACCAGTTGAAAGGAACCTCTAGCATTGCTTCAAAGATTGCTTGCTTTGTTTATATACACAGATACATTTTTAAAATATTTTGTTGATTTTCTCTCTCACACACACAATTATTTGAAAAAATTCCCTAAAAAAAGCCATATATGACAGGAAATATTTTACTAGAAACACAAAAGGAGGGGCTGGAGACATGGCTCAGTGGTTAAGAACACTGGCTGTTCTTGCAGAAGACCTGGATTAGAGTCCCAGCATCCACATGGCGCTAACAACTGTAACTCCAGTTCCAGGGGATCCGATGCCCTCTGTGACTTCTGTGGGCACTGCATGACATGGGTGCATTTACATACTTGCAGGCAATACACACATATACACAGAAATAAAAAAATACATAAAAAAAGAAACACAAAAGGAAAAGCCACTGTTCCCGATTCTGCAGATCAATGGATGGATGACTTAGTGAATGGGGACTGAAATGCCAATCAAGAGCCAAAACTATCCTCAGCTACCTTAAGTCTTCTTAATGGCCATCTATCTCTCGCCTCTGTCTCTGACTCCCCCTTCTTTTGACCATCAGGTAAAACTTCTGGGATATATTAGCTTAGCAGACCATTAGCTTCCATCAGTCCAAAAGCTAAGGATCAGCAGACAGCCTCTAAATCTGAAACTCACAGTGGGGTTTTCCTGCTCTGCTCTAGCCTGGCTGTCCTCTGATGTTCACAGTCATTCATTTGGTAAATGCAGTAACTTATGACTGTCTTTTGTTACATGACTATGAAAAAAACCAGGTAATCACTTCCACAGTGGAACACGTCATTCAGGGTAACCTTAATCTGTGTTCCTGGTCATGGTCACTTATGCTTGCTATAGAATAAACAACCTTTTATTTTGTTTGTAGTGAAAGCTGGGGCTTATGCTAGGAATGTAAGCGGTATGATTTAGTATTAGAAAATACACGAGAGGCTTGGGATACAGCTCAGTAGCTGAGTGCTTGCCTAGCATGTGTGAGGTGTAATACCCAGTACCACCCAAACCAAAACCCAAAACTAATTATAGTTCATTATAATATCCAAAAAGAAATATGAAATCTAGCAAGGAGGCTGGTGCCTGTAACCCCAGCACTTGGGATGGCTGCTCTAGCAGAGGACCCAGGTTTGAGTCCCAGAACCCACACGACAGCTAACAACCATCTGTAACTCCAGTTCCAGTGCTTCAGCGCCCTCTTCTGTCCTCGCAGGCACTGCACGACATGGGTGCACTTACACACATGCAGGCAATACACTCATACACATAAAGCAAAAAAAATAAAATAAAATATTTTAAAGATTGGCTCTTCCTGCAGCCCAGCTGGCTGGGAACTCCCAGACATCTGCCTGCCTCTGCCTCTGGAGTGCTGCAGTTAAAGGCGTGTGCCACTATGCTGGGCTACAGGAGGCTCTTTGAACCTCTCTGGACAGTACCTCTGAGCTGAGGGTAACTTGAGGAGCCAAGAGAGGTGAGAGAATTCCAAGAAGGAAAAAGATACTATGCACAAGAGACACCAAGAACAAGATGTCAGCACAACAGTGAGAGTAACAATAAAGAAGGAAACAAAGTTAGCTTTGTGGGAAGACTTTCACCCAACTGTGCAACCAAAGAGTTATTCTTAGGTTCTGAGATCATTTAACAGTATCTCAGCTTGTTTATAATGTAAAACAAGCTTACTAGGTCTTGGGCTCCTTTAGCAACCTAAACATAGAACCTTAACCCCTCATGACTCTTCTTTGCCCTTGACCCAGAATGATGCGTGTGAATTGTGCGTATCAAACAACAAATGATCGTATCTGTGTGGCAAACACTAGATGGGATTAGACTGGTAACAGCTGCTTGTGAGTGTGTGCTGCTCTAGGTCAGCAGGGTCAGAAAAGACAAACTCCCCGATAAGACAGTCTGTCTTGCCTTCCCCATTTCATGCTGGATGTACAGTTTCAATACAGAGGGAGGGAGGTCTTTTCTCAGGAGCCCAGTTCTAAGAGCAATGTGAAGGAACAAGTTCTCAAAAGAGGTCCCCTGCTGAGCACCAGGCTGTCATTTGGGCATCGCCATAATGTTACGGCACTGCTGCAAGCTTGCAGATAATTCTAGTATAACTTTTATTAGCAGTGTAAAATAAATTCTGTGAATAATGGCTTCTGTGTTTAAGGTAAGGAAACCTGCAGAGTTTTTCTGGTTATAATGTCTGTGAAATCCACATGGAGATCATGACAGAGGCTTCCAGGGTTAGATATGGATGTGGCTTCTGTAGAGGGGATCAGAACACCTTATATCTTGCTGTCTCTTCGCTGAACTCCTTGCTTGTAGCAGACATAACTTAATGCAGGACAACAGGATGTTTCCTAAATTAAGGCTTTAGAATCACATCTAGCACCTTCACTGGTCTGCCAACTCAGAGACCCTCCCCTCAGGTCTATAAATGTGAGGAACTGCCTTTGTTTAATGGGCTGCTGCAGATCTCCACCATACCCCAGCTTTCCCCCCCTTGCAAAGCAGTGTTATTAAAGAACCCGATTACTGGAAGCATGTCTCAGCACCTGTCCAGAGTGAACTGGCCCTCCACCCAGACTTTGCTTTTATCCAGCCTTTGCTTTCCTTATCTAACAGTCAGCAACCTCACAGTAGTAACTACTTAAAGATTCTGCGGTACCAGGCAATGGTATGGTTCTCCCTGTTGCACAATAAATCTCTAAAGTTAAAAAAAAAAATAAGGAAAAAAAAAAAAAAAAAAAAAAAAAAGGCTTTTTTTGTGTTCCAGGCCACGTGGGCTACAGTGAAACTCTATGTGAAAAAAAAAAAAAAAGAAGGGAAGGGGGTATGGAAGACAATTCAGGGTAAAGGTACTTGCCATATAAGCCTGATGACCCAAGTTTAATCAATCCTTGGAACCCATGTAAAGATGGAAGCAGAGAACCAACTCCATTAAGTTGACCTCTGACCTCCACAAGTGTGCCATGACACAGATACACATAGAACCCCACCATCACAATAACTTAAAAAAGAAGACGCCACAGCACACATCTATGATCCCAGCACTCCTATGAGAGATAGAGGTGAGACAGGGAATCCCCAGAAGCTCACAGGCAGGTCGCCTGGCATGTGCTGCACAACACAAGACCCATCTCTGACCTCCATATGTACCCTGGCAGGTGCAGGCACAACCCACCCCCCCATACACACACACCATGTACATCACAAAACACAAAAATGACTGGAAAACACTCAAAACAGAATTAAATTGAGAACAGAGGCTAGTGATGAAGGGAGCCAGCCCTTGCCCAGCATGCTTGAAATCCTGGGTTCTAACCCCAGCACTGGGGGGAAAAGCCTAAACAGAAAAGAGAACAAAGAGATACTTGTGTAATGTAAAACACTGATATTCCAAACCAAAGTCTTATCACTGAGCAGTGGGGAAAACTCAAAAGCATTTCTGTTAGGTGGCTAATTAGCTATTAGTAGATTAGGAGGGTGTTGAGGGTGGAACTCTCAGCAGGTTGTAAAATGAAAGAACTGAACTCTGGGCTGAAGATCAAAGAACAAGCTCTAAGTCCATGTCTGCCCTTAGTGGGGACATGATGCACTGCCTAGAAGTTGCTAACAGACGGCTATCGAATTTGTCACATTACTAAACGCTCTCTAATAAAGAACCGTTACCTCTCCCTGAAAGGGCCAATCCAATGGGCCTGTCCAATCACATGGACAGGACAAAGTCCTGCCCCAGGGAAGCTTCATGTTCTAGAGACTTCAGAAACAGCGCAAATCCTGCCTGAAATGCAGATCTGCACATCAGCTCCTTCAGCTACCGTCTGTCTCAGGCCTTTAGAGTTATCTGCTCTGCAGTAAACTCTATCTAGCTTCTACAGTAAGCTTTGTGCCTTGTTCTTTTATCATTCATTATCATTATTTTTTAGTATCTTATTATTTTTATTTTGTGTGTATGACTGTATTATCTGCATGTCATACAATGTCTGCAGAAGTCAGAAGAGGGCGTTGGATCCCCTGGACCTGGCATTATGGATGGTTGTTAGGCACCATATGTTAGTGCTGGGAGTTGAACCCAGGTACTCTGCAAGAGCAGCCAGTGCTCCTAACTGCTGAGCCATCTCTCTAGCCCTGTGTGTCATTCTTTTGAAGATCACAAGGACCAAGGAAGGAAACAAGGGGAGTCCGGAGTGGGTATCTAGTAACACTCCAAGGAAGCCAGCAACAGACTAGGACGTGCATTCCCCAACCCCTTGTTTTTTCTTTTATTTCTGGAGTGCTGGGGATCAAAGTCAAGGCCTCGTGCATGGCAGGCAAGTAGATTTAATTCAAGGCGCGTGTGGTGGCACATGTTTATAATCCCAGCACTTGGAAGGAAGGATTGGATGTTATCCTGGGCTTTAAGAGACCTGTTTCCAAAAACAACCAGCAGGAGATCGGTTGATTTGTGTCTGAAGGCTGAAGTCCTGGAGAACCATGGTGAGGAGTGATCAGAGATTCTACTGCTCGGCTAGCTCTTGGGTATTTGGAAATTAATGCTGTGACTCCTTTGCCTAACCTTTGGCAAGATGCAGTTCAGCCCGATTCTTACTTTCATTTCTGTCTATTTATTATTTTTTTGAGATAGGGTCTTGCTATATAGTCCTGGATGGTCATAAAGGCAAAGTAATCCTCCTGCCTCATCCTCCTGAGTCCTAGAATTACAGGTTTGGGCCACCATGTCTGGTTCCAAAAATCTTGTTTTGGAAACTATGACACACCAAAGATTTCAGGTATGGGACTGTGACTTCCACATGCACTGGAGGACGTGTGCACTGAGTTCATCACTGGACCATCTGAGGACAAAGCAAAGCACAAAAGGAGATGCAACACAAAGCGCTGACCTTTGACAGCTGGAGTCTCTGCCTCAGAAACAGGCTCTGCCTTCTCTTCCCCGTTAGACTCGTCAACCTCCGCCACTGTGGTCAATTCTGGCTCACTCTTGTAGAGTCTATAATCTGGACCCTTGAACAGAAGACATGTAATTACAGCAACAAGCAGTTACAAGTTCATTCTACACTGTCTGCCTTCTCTAGGTAGATAGCTCAGTGACAGGGTCTCTTGCCTAGCATGTGCAAGGGTCCTGGGCGCAATTGAAAAAAAAGTTTGCCTTTACAGACTCAAACTAAATGCTTCAGTTAGCTACTTCAGATACAGCACAATATATATGTCTGTATGACAACTAAGTAGAGAGTAATCCAGAATATTCTTCCTGGTGACAAAGTCGTTTTTCTTCTCGGTGTGCATTAGGAATTGAACTAAGGTCTTGCATGCCCTCTAGCATCATGTCTTTTTTTTATTTATTTTATCAAGGTTGGACTTGATCTTTTTTTTTTAAGATAGGGCCTTACTTGGAGTTCTGGCTGGCCTAGAACCTGCTTTGTAGACCAGGCTGTCCTCTAACTCACAGACATCCACCTGCTCCTGCATGGGATTAAAGGTGTGCAATACCAGTTGTGGCTAAGATTTATTATTTTAAATTATGTGTATGTGTGCTCATGTCACATGTGTAGAGGTGCCCAGGGAGGTCAGAGACGTCAGATTCCCAAGAGCTGGGTTTACAGATGCTTGTGAGCCACATGACAAGGGTGCTGGGAACCAAATTCAGGTCCTCTGCAAGAGCAATACATACTCTTAACTAGTGAGCCATCACTTTGCTGGCCTCCTTTCTTTGCACCACCATGTCCCGCTGAACTCTTGATCCTTGCCTGCACCTACCAAATGCTCTTTTCTTTTTGAGGAGACTATACTGTGCTGTCCGTCTAGAAGTCATGACTCTCCTGCTTCTGCCTTCCCTGAGTGCTGGGGTGAAGGTGTGTACTCCCACACCCTGCCTAAAGCCACCTTTTTATCATGGTTTAACTAAGGTCTGAAGGTAAACATACAACCCAATAAAAAGTCATCTAGAAGAAAGTCTGAATAAGTGAAGTTCATCCCAAACTAAATTCCTGTCAGAGAACGCTTTATTACTCTCAAAAACATCTAAATTCCACTTTTGGGGGTGGGGTGGGTAGGCACAATCTCACTCTATGTAGCTTAGGCTGGCTTGAAGTCACAACCGTCTACCTAATCCTACTTTTCCTGTCCTCCTCCCCTACACATGCGTTACCCATCTGCTTTCCTAAAACTCCCACTTCCAGTCTCTGGGGCACAGGGACTGCTCCTCCTTGGCCTATGCTGCCAGCGACATACCCATTCTGCCATACCCCTACTTTCTGATCTAAAATTCCAATTTGCCTCTGATCCTCTGAAGTGGTATATTTAAAATATGCCTTCATCAACATGTGCAGAGTAGCCATTTTGTGAAAAAAGAAATATTAAAATTAGAAAATATTAAAAGTGAGAGTGATAAAATGCAAATCAGAAAAACAAAGGGTAATGTCATATGCAAACAAAAAACAATAGCTAAAAAGGGAGCATAACATAAATAGGCTGGATGACATAAATTAAGTTTCAGAAATGAGAGAACGTGTATGATTGGTTATTCTGTGGCTATTTCAGCCACTTACACAGTGAGATCCATTTCTTGGATATCCTTGAACTTGATGAATCTTCTTTTCTTCAGACAGATGCACGGGGCCCCTGCTATAACAGAGCAAGGAGCTGCTATCACTGGGCAGAGGGGGGATTATGGGAGGCTGCTCTGTAAAGTCATAAGACCGAGGAAGTGGAGGCCGAGGTGGGACTACTTCCTCTTCCTAAAGATTGTAGAATAGTTACCTTATTTAGACAAGCAGATTGAATTAAGCATATCTAAACTGTTTGCATTGGTATATTAACTTAAATTTACTTTAATATGATTAAAGGGACACTGCCAAGCCAAAAGTCTCAAACTGAAAAATGAAACAACATAAATCACATGGTAGTCAAGAACTGGGTTGGAACTAGGATGTGTGCCTTTTCCTGTACACACAGGGTGGCTGCACCAAAGCAGATCACCGTGTGAAACTTCTGTGCTTCACTCAGAAAAGAGAAGGAAAAAAAAAAAGAGAAGGAAAAAACTGATTAAAAAAATGTTACTTTATTGTTTTGGTGATTTTTGCAAGAAAAAAGAAAAAACATTTCTGTTTGGCTTTTATACAGATCATGGCCACAGAGTCTCTGAACTTAGGTTGACAGTGTCTCTTTAGAGCTACAGTTGCTCTACGGCATGCACAAGAGAGCCAACGTTATCAACCACCCTATACATTTATCAAACAAGAAGCTATGATAAATATTTGAGTTATTCAGAAAAGTACAATAAAGTTAACGTTTCTAACAGATGAAAAGTAGTGACTACTTTTTTTGCATTAAAGGAAGAAAAATCATGTTAGAAGCATGAAATCACTAAATCAATAACATTTCAAGATTAGAATAACTTAAATATATTTAAAAGACACTTTTATTTTTCTTCTTTTCTTAGATTTTTTCTGAGACAGGGTTTCGCTATATAGCCCAGGCTGGCCATCCTCCTGCCTCAACTTCCCAAGAGCTGGGGTTACCGGTATGCACTATCACAGCAGGCTAAACAAATTTCTTTCAAGAAGAAAAGGCTTAATTACTTCTAAACTCATTTGTTAAACATTTAAATTAGCTAGAAAAACAATTCAAACTTACCTCACTTTTGTACTTAACTGTTGAGAAAGGCTTTGATCCTGTCATACCTATTAGAACAGAATCAGAAAACAGAACTACTTATACTAAACACACCTTTTCAAATCTATAGAAAAAATAATTTTGTTTAGCTTACATTATTATTATTATTACTATTACTATTATTATTATTTTGTGGAGACAGGGTCTCCCTGTAGCCCCAGCTGTCCTGGAACTCACTATGTAGACCAAGCTGGCCTTGAACTCACAGAGATCCATGTGCCTCTGCCTCCCAGGGCTGGGATTTAAAGGCATGTGCCACCACACCCAGCTTTTATTTTTATTTTCTATTTATTTATTTTAAATAATTTAGAGTTTCATACATGCATATAAGATGTTTTGATCAAATCCACGCCCACTCCCTCTCTTCCAACTCCTCCTATAGCACCCCATCACTTTTTTCTGATAACTTCATGTATTCCTTCTTCTTCTTCTTTTACTATTTTTGTAAATGGGGCCTTTGGCTACTCTAACATTCCCCCTCTGAAGAATTAACCCTAAAATCTTTTTTTTTTCTTCCCTGTGGAAACCCTAAAATCTTTTAAAGCTTAGATACAAGCTCCCAAATACTTTTGACATTTTTGGCCTTTGGAATGGAGTATGTTGCTAAGAGACCCAAGGACATTGTGAATTTTAGCCAAGAAACTGCCTACTTTTCTTTGGGGTCTTTTTACTCTAACTGTCTAGCCAGTTCCTACCCCCTATTCTCATCACACCATCCTCTGAAGAGTTTACCAACTTTTGGATAGGCAATCAGGATGCAGACTACTCTGGCTTCTTCCATGTTGAACAGGGACGTAGGGTGAGGCAATTAGAGTAACCCCCTTCAGTGGGTCCATCTAAAAGACTCCCAAATTATATAACTCTTACCACCATGTGGAGGCAGGATCTGGGCACTCTCAGGCAGTCCCCTGCATTCTCAGCTCCTATGGTCTGCTGAGATCACAGCCACTACACTGACAGAGGTCAGAGTCCACCCTCTCAGGCTGTCTACTAGGATCTATTTTTTATTATTTTTTTTAAGATTTAAATAAAATTGGGACTGGAATGGTATCTCAGCAGTTAACAACACTAGCTGCTCTTCCAGAGGACCTGGGTTCGATTCCCAGCACCCAAACGGTGGCTAACAACCGTCCATAACTTCAGTTCCAGGGGATCCAATGCCTTATTCTGACCTCTGAAGGCAATGCACGACATGGGTGCCCTTACATACATGCAGGCAATACCCTCACACACATAAAATAATACATAAAATAGGGGCTGGGGAGATGGCTCAGTGGTTAAGAACACTGACTGTTCTTGCAGAAGACCCGGGTTCGAATCCCAGCACCCACATGGCAGCTAACAACTGTCCATAACTCCAGTCCCAGGGGATCTGACAGTCTCTTCTGTCCTCCACGGGCATTGCATGACATGGTGCACTTACCTACACACAGGCAACACACACATACGCATAAAAATAAATAAAATATTTTTTTAAAAAAGAAAGGAAGAGTCTATTTAAAAAATAATACATAAAATATTAAAAAAGCAAGGGTATGTGGAAATGGATTTTCTCCAAAATCATTGGTGTAAACAGTAATATGAGGGCAACCTGGCTATACCCTTCAGAGTGGAATTATTTTCAGAGTGTACTTATTTTTCACAATGTAGAATCCAGTAAGTACTAGCAAGTATGTTCAATTAAATGTATAATAATGTCTACAGCTGAGTGACTTATAGATAGTAGACAAATCTGGAAACAAAAGTACATGCCCACCACTATGGAAAAGGATAAAGTATAGTTAACCTATACAATGGAGTCACATGCCACTATCATTATATTAAACAGAAAAGGAAAGCAAACAAGATCAGTTACAATTCCAGCAGGCAGCACTAACTGAACTCATGGGGTTACAACAAAACAACAAAACAAAACAGAACAGAGCGGGAGAAAGGGAGGAGAAAGGGGTCGTGAAGGTGGGGGCATGTCTGGGCTATGTGGGGGATGGGAGGAGGAGCTGGAGGCAGTTATGATCAAGATACATTGTATGCATGTATGAAATTACAAAGAATAAAAGATATCTTAAAGAGAGAGAAGCAAAGCAAACTGTGGAAAAGGTGCAGAACGCTTACTCTTTGCTTCCCGTTCCCCACTGAAAAAGAGATGCAGAAGAGAAGCTGGGAGGCAGAATTCCTAATGCCACCGTGTGGCCTTCATACTGACGCATGCGAAACAAGGATCAGTTTTGTTTATGGCTACCAAAATTCTTGCTCTTATTTTAATTTACGTTCTGACTCAATTGTACAGAGTTCCTGTTTTCTGATGAAAATCTCCATCGTGTCCTGCCATTTACACACAACAGTGCAAAGCCTACTCACCTGTTTCAGAAGTGCCTCTTTGCTGTTTGTGTTTGCTCAACCCTTCCATGACATCTTGAATTCTCCAAAGTTCTTTCTGAATCTGTGCCCGCTGAATTCCTGCTGATTCACTCTATCAGTAAAGATGGACAGATCACTCTTGTGGTTTGAATGAGAACTGTCTCCTACAGGCTTGTCCATCTGAACACTTGGTACACAGATGGTAACACTTTCTGGGAAGGTTGTGGAAACTTCAGGAAGTGGAACCTCGAGGGAGGAAGTATGTCTTAGAAGGAGCCCGATCCCATGTCCTGTTCTTGGTCTTCCCTTCCATCCTCTCTGTCCTGATGCTGTATCTTCCCCACCATGACAGACTGCACTCTTGGAACTGAGGACCAATGCACCCTTGGAACTGAGGACCAAAATAAACCTTTTCTCCCTCAACTTATTGGAAGGGGCTAAACTACAAGTTCTACCGATTATATATTAAAAAATGAGAAACGCAGAGGATTAAGTTCTCAGAACGTTTAGGGTGACACATGTGCATCTCCTGATTTTGCAAAGATGACAGGTAAAACAGGAAAAGAACACTGAATTTTTCAACATAAGTGTTCTACTTCTCATCTTTGCAGTAAATGTCACATTATTTGTGCACCTCAGAGGGCACACAGATTAGAAGGGACTACCAACAGAAAATAAAAACAGTTGAAACTTACTATTCCCAAGTTAAAACAAAACCAAACCAAGCCCCAAAGGGGGAATGAAAGCAATGGAAGGTCACAGCAGCCCTTCCTCGTCTGCGGGTGCTTTGCTTCCATGACAGTGACAGATCCCGCAGCCAGCTGAAGGCTGAAGACGGCAAACACAAGCTGTGAGGAGTGTGCTGAAGCTCAGCAGCAGGAGCGTGATCAGCACGTGTGAGGCCGTACGTTCAATTCCCAGTGCTGGGTATTTTTGAAAGTTTATTATGTGCTTGTTTTATCAGTTATAACTGCTCGACTATGCACTTGTTGATCTCTTACTGTGCCAAATATATCCATTTCATTGCAGGTGTGCATGGGGGTCCTGCTCAGTGCTAGAGTACACACTTAGCACTTGAAAGGCCCTAGGCTGGATCCCCAAGATCGTCACATTCCCAAACCAAACTGTACACACAGTTTGATACAGGTTGTGGTTTTTATAACTCCGTGAAGGTCATGGGACACAGGTCCCGAAGGCAAGTGTGCATCTGTGTGAGGTGGGGAGGGGGTCCATATACTACTTCCTCAACTCTAGAACATTAAAAAAAAGAGCTTTACTGATAGAATCAAATAAATGTGATTGCAATATTAATGTTCAATTTTGGAATCCAATCATGATGACTTTTATTTTATTCTACTATATTTGTTTTATTTTAATACTCTATATCATAAATAATACTGTTTTTCCTAAGATTCTATTGCAACTATATGACACCTGCACATAAATGACTTGTTTTAAGGAGGAATGTTGGAGACTAAGTCTCACACTGAAGCCCAAGTTGGACTGGAACTCAAGACACAGAGCACATAAAAGAACAACAACAATAACAAGGGTTTCGATAACAATAAACACTGCCTTTAGGAGTGTAACTTGCTGGTTAGAAATCTATTTTCAGCATCTATAAGCCTATAGGAACTACCATCAGTTAAAGGTACTACATGAATTTAGTCAGCTAGTGTTCCAAACCACAGACTTCAGGAAACATCAAACTTTTCAAAAGGAGAAAGTACTCACAAGAGACCCAAACAAGGTGAAAGAAAGCTCAGAGAGGAGAGACCCCAGGCAGGAGGGAAGAGCAAGCATAAAAAGCTGGTACTTGCACACCTGCATACCTACACAGAATATGCATTACTCCTGTAGTAATTAAAACGTACACAGTTTATCAACCTCAAAGATACACAATGCAAATTTCATTTCTGTTTGATTTTGTACCAATGACAAAAAGAATTTAAGATCTATTTTTATTTTATTTATGTGTGTGTCTCAAGAGGGCATCAGATCCACCTGGAACTGGATTTATGGATGGCTGTAAGCTGTTTGATGTGGGTGCTGGGAACCAAACTTATATTCTCTGGAAGAGGGGCAATGGATCCTAACCACTAAGCTGTATCTGCAGACCCCCAAACAAAATTTTAAACATCTAAATTAGCAACATAAAATCTTTTTTCTTGGTATTAAAATTATTTTGATTGATTTATTTTCATTTTACACATGAGTGTTTTGCCTGTAGGTATGTAAGTGTACTCAAGTCATGCAACGCCTGCAGAGGGCAGAAGAGGGTGCTAGAGTCCCCTGGAACGGGAGTTATCGACAGTTGTTATGGACTATGTGGGTACTGGAAACTGAACCCAGGTCCTCTGCAAGGACAGCCAGTGCTCTTAATTGACAAACCATCTCTCCAGCCCCAATTAAAAAACTTCTATCAATTCATTCATACCCCTTGGCCATTTTTCTTCTTAAAAAATTGCTACTTAGCCGGGTGTGGTGGCGAACGCCTTTAATCCCAGCACTTGGGAGGCAGAGGCAGGGGGATCTCTGTGAGTTCAAGGCCAGCCTGGTCTACATAGAGAGTTCAGGTCAGCTGGGACTACAGGGACACTCTGTCTCAAAAAGACAAAAAAAAAAATTGTTGCTTTATTGTATGTATTATTTTTCCAAGAGTTTTTTTTTTACAGGAACACTGGGCAGCTTACCAGTGGGTATACCATTAACACATCTCCTCTTCCTCCATCAATCCTAAGCTATTTATTATTTAAATCCTCAGGGAGGTGTGGGGCCCTACCAACTCCTTCCCCAGGTTTGTTTGACAAAAAATAGATATTATTTTATGAAGCAGAGTTAAAGATACTTTCTAAGTATTATAATAAGTATTAAGTATCTTTATCTTTATCATAGATAACGTTAATGTGGATTTTAAACATGAGGGTGATGAGAAAGAGGTTCAGGAAAAGAAGGCCAGACATACCCGTGGCATGGGTGTGTGCCTATGACAGACAGAGCACCAGGAGGGACACTGGATACAGAATGGATTTCCCTCCCTCCCTCCTTCCCTTTGAAACAGGGTCTCACTTTGTAGTTTAGGCTGGCCTCATACTCAGCAAGAACATTTTTTTGTTTTAAATATTTTTTACTTATTATTTTTATTTTATGTGTGTATGTGTATTGCCTGCATGTAGGTAAGTGCACTGTGTCATGCAATGCCCGTGGAGGACAGAAGAGGCTGTCGGATCCCCTGGAACTGGAGTTACGGACAGTTAGCTACCATGTGGGTGCTGGGATTCAAACCCAGGTCTTCTGTAAGAACAGTCAGTGTTCTTAACCACTGAGCCATCTCTCTAGCCCCAGCAAGAATATTTTTAAAAATAAGTATTATTTGATGAGTTGATTCCCTGGGCCTAGTAAGGCACACCTGTAATGCAAGGCGGAGGCAGGAAAACTAAGAGTTCAAGGCCAGCCTAAGTTATGATAGTGAGACCCTTATTTCATCAGAAAAAAATATAACTCATAATCAACAGTCCAGTATCAATAGACACAGGTGGTTTGTGACAGTCTGAACCAAATTTCTAGGAAGTTTTGAGACAACTAATGAAGTACTGAGGAGTGCAGTGCTGAGAGCTGAGTACCAAGGGGCGTAAGTACTTTAGGGCACACTATGGCCCAAGAGACCAAAAAGCATAGAAAGAAGATCGTGGGTTAATTCGAGTGACAGTAAGAATTCTGTCATTGAAAATACTCAATGTGTAACTCAGAGGCCAACAGAGACAGTTACACATGAAGCCACAAGGTGAGATGTGTGGTACATGTTAAAACCAATCAAGTTAATGTCAAAGATTGTTTTCCTACCTGCACTTCGCCAAGGCGATCCAGCTGCTCCTGCATCTGGTTCCTGGTGACACTCACATCGTACTCCAGCTTGTCACATTCTCTCCAGGCTCGTTCCAGCTCCTGAGATTAAAGTGCTCATCAAGTTAACGGGGCCATGCTTTAATGGGTATCACTACACTTAAATCCTTCAACAGTTCAGAAAATTGTGTAGTTTATTTTGGGCAAACCAAAAATTTCTTACAGTGCTGAAGACTGAACTCACAAACACGGTGGGCAAGTGTTCCTCTGTGCCGTGTCTCTAGCACCAACAGAAAACTTTCGCAGCTCCTTTTTCTTTACCGTTCCCTCTTTTTAAAGACCCGAGAAACTAAGAAAGCATGCGGTGTTATTTCTGAGTCTGGCTTATTTCACTCAACATAATGATCTCTACTTCCATCCATTTCATTTTTCTTTATGGCTGCATAACCCCACAAAATCTACAGTATATATATGATACTTTGTCTGTTCACACACATCTAGGCTGCTCTATTCCTTAACTACTGTGAATGGTGCGGCTGTAAGACATGGCATGTACCTCTGTGGTATACTGAGATGGCAGTGTTCTGGGTCTATACCTGGGAGGTAGAGCTGGGTCATTTGGTAGTTCTATTTTCAGCTTTTTGTTTTCACTTTTGTTTTGTTTTTTTGAGACAGGATTTGACTACACAGTCCAGGTTGGCCTCAACCTCACAGAAATCCACTGCCTCTACCTCTGCAGTGCTGGGATTAAAGGAAAGCACACCATACCTGGCCCTGGTTTTGTGTTTTAAAAGATCTATTTTATTTTAATTACATGTTTGCGATGTGTGGGGGTATGTGCATTTGAGTACAAGTGCCCTCAGAGGTCAGAAGACAAAATCAGATTCCTGGAGCTGGAGGTACAGGTCCTGGGAACCAAAGCTGGGTCCTCTGCAAGAGCAGGGTGTGCTCTTAACTTCTAAGATACTTCTCCAGATCTAGTTTTAGTTTCTTAAGGAATCTCCACACTGGCTGCCACAGTGGTTGGAACAGTAATTTACATTGCTACCAGCAGTGAACAAGGGTCCTTACATTCTCACCAGGATTTGTTGTACTCTGTTTAATTTTATGTTTATGCGTGTTTTGCCGGCATGTATGTATGTGCACTGTGTCCATGTCTTGTGCCTGCAGAGGTCAGAGGAGGGTGTCAGATCCCTTAGAACTGGAGTTACAGATGGTTATTAGCTGCCCTGTTGGTGCTGGGAACTGAACTCGTGTCCTCTGCAAGAGCAGCTGGCGCTCTTAACTGCTGAGCCATCTCCCTAGTTCCTGATTTTTTTTTAAAGAGCAAAGAGAACCTGGGAATGGTGACACATGGGAGGCTGAATCAAGAGGATCCTAAGTTCAAGGCCTGTACTATGCTATATAGAGTGTTCAAGGCTAAACCGGGCAACTTAGTTGGATTCTGTCATTAAAAAAAAGAAAGGCTAGGAATGTAAAAAGGTGGAGTGCTTACCCAGCATGCACAAGCCTGTGGGCCAAACCCCAGCAATGAAAAGAAAAGAGTGCATAGAAGACTACATCTCTACATTAGGTAGACAACTTAGGAAGCCATTAAACAGGTTTCATATGAATTAAAATTTAAAAGGATAGTGGGTTAAGGGCTTTTTATATCACCTATACTATATAAATATTAGTCTCATTAATGACTTCAGCAAATTTTTTACCTGAATCAATATACAAATTGGTATCCTTTAATAAAAATTACTCTAGACATCTATTTAAACAAATTAAGGCTGGGTATAGTGGCACATGCCTTTAATTCCAGTAGAGGCAGGCATATCTCTGTGAGTTCAAGGTCAGCCACGGAGGGCTACACAGTGAGAACCTGTGTCAAGCAAGCAAGCAAGCAAGCAAGCACCCACCTACCCATCCACCCACCCAACCAACCAACAAAAAACCTACCCGAAACCAATTTATTTATTTACTGATTGGCTGTGTGTGTGAGGGTGCGGTGAGGTGGGTGAAGGTTAGAAGACACTTGTGGGAGTTGGTTCTCTTTCCAACATCTACATTCCAGGGATCAAACTCAGGTTGCCAGGCTTGGCAGCAAGGGCTTTAGTGAACCACCTCAATGGCCTTGGTTTGGCTGCTTATTTATTTGTTGTTTTAATTTTGAATTTGTTTTTCCATTTTCTAATTCCTGTACATCATAGACACAGCAAACTTATGCAGTGGGTCTTGAGTCCCCTGGGAGGGAAAAGAGGCCTCAAGGGCAGCCTGTTACCTCCATATAAGAGTAAGAATGTGGAGCAGCCAGGCATGGTGGTGCATGTCTTTGATGTCAGTACTTGGGAGGCAGAGGGCGGTGGATCTCTATGAGTTTGAAGCCAGCCTGGGCTACATAGTGAGACCCTGTCTTAAAAAAAAAAAAAAAAATCAGAGTAAACTCAACTCCCTGCAGTCACATGAAAAAGACCATCTCAAGATGTGGGGATCCGTATCCTTCCTGGAGAAATGAAAGAAAAGAGACAGAGATCGAGCACACAGCAGCACAGCGGACATACAGCACTCCTAACACGTAACAAGCAGTGTATTACCTGGCGGTGCACCACTGTCGTCCCTCTTGCCTCAGTCAGGTACCAGGACTGCAGTGGTGCATAACCAGCACACACCCTGAGTTCTGGAGTGAGATGTTCAGCCAGGGAATGGGGGGAAGCTCATGGTGTGGTGGTAAGCTTGCTATCCTCTGTGGATGTTACCACGCATGCATAGATTATACTTGAGAAGCTAACAGTTGACCCAGCAGGGTTATGGGAACTGAGCTCAGGTCTTCATTCATTCATTCATTCATTCATTCATTTTTTGTTATGTGTATGTGTGTATTGCCTGCATGTAGGTAAGAGCACCTGTGTCGTGCAATGCCCGAAGAAATCAGAAGAGGCTGTCGGATCCCCTGCGACTGGAGTTACAGACAGTTGTTAGCTGCCATGTGAGTGCTGGGATTCCAACCCGGGTCTTCTGCAAGAACAACCAGTGTTCTTAACCTCTAAGTCATCTCTCCAGCCCCCAGTGTTTCTTATAATAATAATAAAGAACAATCCTAAAGACAGCCCAACTAAAAGCAGAGAGAAAAGACAAAAGAATTGTGCAGTATTTAAAACATTTTGGGGGCGGAGGGAGTGTCAGGCTAGCCTGTAATTTGCTATGTTGCCCAGGTAGGCACCTGTCTCTGAGTGTTGGGATTCTATGTGTATGATGCCATGTGTGGCTCTACTCACCGACCTACATATACCCCCTCCACCCCCCTTTTAAAAACTTTTTGAGAAGGGTCTCACTAAGCTGTCCAGGCTGATCTTGAACTCCCTCTGTAGTCCAAGCAGTCCCTGAATTTAGCAATCTTTCTGCCTCTGCCTCCAAGTAGTTGGGATTATAGGTCTGCATTACCACATCCTGATCTAGGTGACTTTCATTAGGACATAATCTACTTACAGCAGTGGCTCGAGAGAGTTCGCGGCAGGTGCTGAGCAGTCCGTTCTGCAGGTCGTCTCTCTGCAGCACCACTGTCTGAATGGCTGCTGGGTTATCTGCATTCATCTCTATCTCTTGGCTGGCTGAGAGCAAAGCTTGCTCAAGCGTGTACTATTATAATAAAGAGAATTACACTTAATGTTGTGCATCACTGAATTAATTCGCTTTACTTAGTTCTCAGTGTCCTTATATCTACTATAAAGTAACATCGCTGTAGGTAATAAACAGAGTCGTCCTACTTTCTCCTTGTGAAGCTGCTGCAGCTTCTCCTCTAGAGCGTGCACCACTTTATCTTGTTCACACAATCGGCTTAACTTGGCCTAGGTTGGAAGAGAACATGTCTTTTGTTAGCAATTTCAAGTCTTTTCTATAATGAGGGAAGGTAGACACTTAAAACATCCATGAACACCTAGTTAGGGCATTTTAACTTCACTCAGAATCAGTAAAATGGAGACAGAGCTAGGATATTTAAATAAGCAAGCAGAAGAAAGTGAGAAAGCATTCAACCATACTATTCGACTTACATATTTCAAAATATCCTTAGTAACCAAGCAGTCTGTGAGTCAGGCTCGAATCTTTCAATTTGATTAAGATTCCCCCTAGAGTCTGCCTGACAGGCTGTTATATATCACCTTGGATGAGAGGCTCACGATACCGTACTTGGCTTTCTTTTTGGCTCAGGGATGGAACTCTAAGTCTCACAAATGCTATACACAGGCTCCAAGCTATACCCCAGGTGGAGTTTAAATCATTATTCTTGAGATAAAGCGTTACTTAGAGCCTAGGCTAGCCTGGAACTTACTATATGGCCCAGGCTGGTCCCCAACTTCCTCACATCCTCCTGCCTTAGCTTTGCTGGGATTTACACACATACACCAACACGCCTGCTTCATTTTCTAAAAAATTTTTTTCATTTATTTATTTTTATTTTATGAGTATGAGTGTTACGCCTGCATATATGTTAGTGCACCTGTGTCGAGCAGTGCCTCTGGAAGACAGAAGAGGGCATTGGATGTCCTGGAACTGGAGTTGAGGATGGTTGTTTAATTTCAATAATACAATAAACTAATTCTCCTAATATTAAACAGGATATATGTCCTCAAATTTAGGGCACAATGACAAGCCAGCAAGACATGTGACACTCTACCCCTTGACCATTTATCTGTCACCTCAACAGAGTATACGTATAAGAAGGGCACATGGCAAATCAGTAATCTAAAGTAGGATTTGAGAGAGAGCAAATTTGTCAGGTATGGTGGAACACATCTGTAAATCTCAGCTTGTATGATGCCAAAGCAGGAGGATTTTGAGTTGGGAGGCCAGCCTGGGTTGCACAGTGAGACCCTGTCTTGAACAGAACAAAAGCTGATTTTTATTTTGAGAAAGAACCTGTGTAGTCTAGGCTGGCCTTGAACTCTCAGCCCTCCCGCCTCTACTGCAGGCACAGGCCATCAAGCCTGCATCTAAGGAGACTAAATTTAATCCAAAGGAAGCAATAGCAGTGGTATCATTTCTAGAGGCTTTTTTTTTTTTCTTGAAAATACTGTATTTCTTCTGTGTCTCGACCTTTTTTATCTCGTGTGTTTTGAGTGTGTGTGTGTGTTTTAAATCAGCGTGGAAGCCAGAAGCATGGTCAGGCCTGCTATTCCAGTGTTCAAGAAGCAGAAGGCGTGTCACTACTGTTAAGGCCCAGTCAGTTCCAGGCAGCTCCTGCCTGAGAAGACAACAAAACCATGGAAGAAACAACAGCAACAAACCCTCCAACTCTACCAAATTAAACTCAAAACCCAACCCAAAGGACAACAGAGAGAATAAAACAAACAAACACACACACACACTGGGACAGTGAGACAGCTGAGTAGGTAAAGGCACTTGAGCCCAAGCCTGGCAACTTGCAACCTGGGATTGATCCCTGAGACCCACAATGGCAGAAATGACTCCTGAAACCTCCACACATCATGGCACACATGTGCCCCCAATGAATAAAGTAAAAATTAAAGGACCCCCACAACCTTTCTCCCCCTCAAAGTGGAGTTTTTGAAATTAAGTGCTACATAATAACATTCAACTGCTAATTACAGGGGCAAAAATAGACAAGAATAAGACCAAAAAAAAAAAAAAGAATGTATAATAATGTATTTTTTATGGCATTTTGGTAGACATGCATTTCCTGTTTTTTTTTTGAGTTAGGGTCTCCCTGTAGCTCCAGCTGGCCTGGAGCCTACTATGTAGACCAAGCTGGCCTTAAACTCACAAAGATCCCCCTACCTCTAACCTCCCAAGTGCTGGGAATAAAGGTGTGAGCTACCATGCTTGGCCTGCATTTCCTGTGTTTGGACATGGTGTATCACACTAATACTTACATCAATATCAACTTCTTCAGGTCTGTATTTGTACAATGTGCCTCTACATTCATCTTGGGATAGCTATAAGAAAAAAAATGCCACAAAGAAACTTTAAAAACCAGTTTATAGTTAATATTTAAACTCACATCAAATATGACAATATGACAAAATGCTTTTTAAAATGATTCTTATACTTTTAGAAGTCTAATTCAAACACAAATCATTATAAAAGTAGAGAAATACTTAACAATGATACAATATGCAAGATACAAGAAAGATGCTAAGGCAAGCTTGTCAAATAAGCTGACCAAACAGTTAATAAAGCACCTTACAGTTTTCACTTTAAAGACAAACATTATTTTAATAAAAAATGGACAATACAAAAATAGCAGCTTATACTGGATCAAATATTCGAGTCAAGCACAGTTCAGTGACCGTCGTCTTTCACAGTACACATAACCACACTGTTTATGTGTACATTCAAATGCCAACACATCTTAGCACAACTTTATCAACAGTCTATAACACATTGTACACATGTACATAATATGTAAACACACATACACAGTATAGACTTATCTTGTTCTTCTGTCTTAAGAACTAAAAGATAATGAGGAAAAGGGGTTTAATTGAAAAGAGGAAATTATTCCAAACCTCGTAAAACTGAAAACCTACATTTTAAGTTATGAATAACAGGTTTCTATGTCTGATCGACACCCTCTGTAGTATACTATAAGCAATCATTATTTTTTTGCATGGGGATTGAACCTGGGGCTTCTTCACCCATGACTGGTAAGCACGGTACCAGTGAGCTGTCTGTCTATGTACTTTTTCCTATATTCTTCCAAGTATCTTTTGGTTATATAAGTCCTTATTTTGGATTAGTTTACCAAGAGTCCCACAGACATCTCAATCAGTGACAGCAGAGACTGCAGCACAGGCATTGTTTCCTGACCTCGCCTGTGTTTTGATTTTATATTAACTGCTAGAGAGCAACAGAAACACAGCAGACAAAATTCAGCTGGGGCTTGATGTCGGCTTGCGAAATGGTAACTTTTTCTCACTGTGGGTTCAGGAGTAAAATGCCCCAACTATAATCTAGCTTAGAATGCTCAATTATATATATATGTATGTAAATCTTTAAGAATGGATGATACCATGTTTCCTCTGTAAAAACAAAAATGCTCGATCATCACAGCTTCAAAGTGAGATCTAATTAAATAGCAGACTACTTGAATGGAAACAGCAGTTTACTTGGAATGGATCTAGGCATGTGGAGATCAGAAAGTTAAAAATGTAAGCACTCCAAACATACAATAAATCCTGGAATTACATATTTCATCTTAAGACATGACTTCATACAGCTCATGCAAATGAATCTGTGACTAAAGTATGCAGAGTGACCACTGAAGCACGTGATTTTATAGAAATGAACATTACATGAAAAATGAATTTAATGGCAAAAGTCAGACTTGTATAATACTGTAAGCAAGGATTACTCAAGAATGTCCTGACAAATGTCAGCTGTTATTAAACAACCAGATTAAAGCACCTAGATCCAAGAGAAGCAGTTATACTCCTACCTGAAAAAGGTGTTTTGGAGTGAGTTTTTCTTTGATTTTAATTATCAAAAAATTTTTTGAGAGGCTGGAGAGATGGCTCAGTGGTTAAGAGCACTGACTGCTCTTGCAGAGGACCCAGATTCCATTCCCAGCACCACATGGCAGCTAACAAATGTCCGTAACTCCAGTTCTAGGGGATCCAACGCCCTCTTCTGACTCAGTGGGCATTGCGTGACACAGGTGCACATACACACATTCAGGCAATACAATCATACACAAAATAAAAATAAATAGAATATCAAAAAAATTTTTTTTGACAGGATTTCCCTGTAACCTCAGCTGGCATGGAACCTGCTATATAGACTAGGCTGGCCTCAATCTTGCAGAGATCCGTCTGCCTTTACCTCCTATGCTAGGATTAATGGCATGTGCCACCATGCCTGGCTAAGAGTTTTAAAATGCTTATATCCAAGATAAAAAAATGTAAAACAATGCTAAAATTAGTTTTCTAATACTTAACATGAACTTAAAGCAAAAGACCTTCAACTATTAAGATGCTCTAGTGTATTAGCTTAGTATTTAAAGTTGAATGTAAAACATCTTTATTAAACCTTGGAATGTTAACATAACATGCGCAGCACTTTATCAAAGTTAAAATAGGAAGGAATTGTATCCTGTGTTCAAGGTCCAAAGGGAAAAAAACCCAAAAAACTAGTTCATTAAAACCAAAACAGTAATTTATGGTAAATATTTAGGATACTGGTATGCTGTTTTTATTTGGAGAACCACTTAAGATTCATTTTGATATCAGTTGGTATGGCATTAAAAAGTGTCTGCTAAGTAGTAAAACTTTAATTTTTTTGAGCTAGGTCTTGCTATGTGTCTCTGGCTGGCCTGAAACCCGCAGTGATTCTTCCCAGTGCTGGGGTTATGGGCATGGCATGTACCAACATCCCCAAGCCAGTTCCAACTTTCAGAGAGCGATGTCTTTTTTTTTTTTTTTTTTGGTGGCAAGAGGATGCTGAGTTTGAGGCCAGCACAGGCAGCACAGGTTTAGAGGTGTGGCTTAGTAACAAAGCCCTGGCCTTGAATTCTCAGTGTTCAATCCTCAGTACTCTCCAAAACCAAAATCAGAGAAAAAGACTAACTTTAAAAACTTTCGCCTAGGGGCTGGAGACATGGCTCATCAATTAAGAGCACTGGGTTGCTCTTTCAGAGGACCTGGGTTCGATTCCCAGCACCCACATGGCAGTTAACAACTGTCTGTTACTCCAGTTGCAGGGGATCCAACACCCTCTTCCGACCTCCACAGGCACTGCATGACACAAGTGCACCTATCTACATGCAGGCAATACATTCATACACATAAACAACAATAAAATTTCCATTGAGGATTAAAAATTTTGGTATGCTGTCTTTAATACAAATCTATTACTAATAAAAATGTGAATTTCAAGTATTTTGGTAGCTTAAATTTTTCTACATTTTGGTTCTGAAAATGTTTTTACTAGTTTTTCTTTGGTTCCTAGTACCTACAAGGTAGCTCACAACCATCTGTCACTCCAGCTCCACTGAGTCCATAAAAGGGGTGGGAACTGAACTTGGGTCCTCTGCAAGAGCAGCATGTGCTCTTAACCACTAAGCAATCTCTCCAGCCCCATTTTTTTCTTCTTCTCTCTTTTTTGAGACAATCTCACTTTGTAGCCCAAGCCAGCTTTAACTCATGGCAATCCTCCTGCCTTAGTCTCCCAAGTAGTAGGATTACAGATGTAAACCATCTTGCCTGGCTTTATTTAAAAAACTATTAACAAGCATTAAAACAATGCTTATAGTACTATAAACATTTGCTGCTATGTCTCTATCTTTGAGAATTATTATTCATTAGGTGATTAACTTCATTAATATTCATAGTTGATAAAGACTATAGTATAAAAGTATAACTATGACACAGTAAAACAATAACGAGATTTTTTTTTTAAAACTTGGTGTTTAATATTAAGTTTTAGGTCTTTTCATTTGGTTAATTTTAAGAAAACTACTGTCTGGGTAAGTTTTCAGGTGTCTATCCAAGGAATAATTCAAATAAAGGTGCTCTGAGCCACATGTGGTGGCTCATGTTTATAATCCCAGCTCTTGGAGGTGGAAGATTACAAATCTGAGTCCAGGGCTGGGTATGGTGGTGCACGCCTTTAATTCCAGTACTTGGGAGGCAGAGGCAGGCGGATCTCTGTGAGTTCCAGGCCAGCTGGGGCTACAAGGGAGACCTTGTTTCAAAAAAAAAAAAAAAATTGAGATCAACTTTGGCTACAAAGGAAGATCCTGTTTCAAAACAACAAACGAGCTGGGTGTGGTGGTACACTCTTTTAATCCCAACACTCAGGAAGCAGAGGCAGAGACAGGCCAGCTTAGTCTACATAGCAAGTTCCAGGCTAGCTGGGACTACATAGAGACCCTGTCTCAAAAAGACCAAAAAACAAAACAAAACAAAACAAAACCGAAAAAAAAAAAACCCAACAAGAAATGAATTGAAGGCAGACATTAGGTGGTGCATGCCCCATCCCCAGCACTTGGGGAGAGAGAGACAGGTGGCTCTCTGAGTTTAAGGGCTACAAGGGTTACATAGTGAGACCCTGCTTCCAAAACACACACACAAACAAAATAAAACAGCAAAACACAAAAGCCCAAAAGAATTGAGGGCCATGAGTTGCCTCAGTGGGTAAAGGCACTTGTTTCCAGACCTGAGGACCTAAGTTTGATCCTTGGAAACCACAGGGTGGAAGGAAAGAACCAGTTCTCTCAGACTGCCCTTCCACACTTCCATGCATGTGACATGGTAGACACATGCAAGCATGTACACACAATTTTTTTTTTTTTAATTGAGAAGCTGGAGAAATGGCTCAGCACTTACGAGCACTGGCTGCTCCTGTAAAGGGACCAGGTTTGGGTTCCAGCATCCACATGGCAGCTAACAACCATCTGTAACTAGCTTCAGGGGATTCAGTGCCCTCTTCTGGACCTGTGTATACCTCATGCATATGGTGCACATACATACACGCAGGGAAACACTCGTACACATAAAATAAAAACAAATCTTTTTAAAAATTGAAAGATTCCACTTCTATTTTCTTTCTAAAGCTAAAGCTGCTTAACTTTAAATATTTACTATTTGGGTTAGCTCTTGCAAATTAGATGTTTTAGTCACAGATTATATTTCAAATACGTTGAAAACTGGTTCAACAATCGAGTCATCCTCTCACCCACTGTCCCAGTTTCCAGTTACATGGTGCACAGTGCACTGCAAAGACGAGGCACCCCGAGGCTTCGGGGCCGGAGTGAGCCCAAGGAGCTTCTACTGAGTAGGTGCTTCTCACATCTGAATTAGGATCTACATTCATTTTTCATGTGAGTTAGTTTTCTTCTTTTTTATGATTTAAAAATATTCTAACAGGCCATGGCCACAGTAACTTGAGGTACTGAAGTAGAAAAGCTGATGCTATGGAACACAGAGCTGGGGACATTTAGACCATGAAATAAATAATAATTAAAAGAATGGATAGAAATGCGTGTGACTTCTTTTGCAGATCTGCAGATTACCACGTTTCCTAAAGCAAAGTCCGCTAATTCCCCAACACATACTTTGATTAGAGAAAGGAATGGGGTAAAGTGCAATTACCCTGGCAGGTTAATAATTAGCAGCTAGGTTCTACCCCATCAGTACAAGAACTAAACTGCTCCCACATAAATGTAATCTACTAAAACACAAGCAGGACAGGTTTGGAGGGCTGCACTTAACAGGAAAACATTTTACAAACCTTTCCCCTAAAATGTAGTGGTAATGCCTTCAGAGTTAATAAAAAAAAAAAAGGAAACCTAGTAAAATTTTGCCAAGTGTACTGCAGACCTCCAAGTATGCATCAATCACATAGTCTACACAAAAACTTTAGGAAAATGGCACACTTATATTCAACAGCAGAATGTTCAGGAAGCCATGCTAAAAGTAGCGCAGCATCTTGGGACACATGGATGAAGTGTTTCCCAAACAAACAAACAAAAAGAAAAACACCGATGTAAGGAAATCTGAGCATAAAGCAAAACCAGCACTGGGGGTTTGCAGATGACAAAGCGGTATCGTTCACTGTCCAAGACCTTACTTGCTGGTACAGTTGTGGTCTTAGCGCCGAGTTCTCAATCATTGTGTGAACCATGGTGATAATAGGTTCATTTTCTTTCATCTATTTCAAATCAGGAGGAGCATACAGCAAACATCAGTTTACAGCACAGCTAGATTTGAAAGACGACACTGTAAATATATCCTCTACTTTAGTATCTTCCTAACAGTGTAATTGCTTACATTTACCTCATGGTTGCACAGATTTAATGTCTATCAATAGTTTTAAGCAAGTATTAAATGCTGTAAAATACTTCCAAGGTTATAAAAAAGCTCAATAACTACAACAAGATTTTACTTTAATCAACACAACCAATTAACAAATATTCCTACATATATTATATGATAAAGCATCACAACACATAGGACAATTGAAACTTTCTAGAAGGGGATAATCAATTCTTTATAAGATTAATTAGGAAAAAAAATAGGATAAAGCATTACAACATAAAGGACAACTGAAACTTTCTAGAAGGGGACAGTCAATTCTTTATAAGGTTAATTAGGAAAAAATGAGTTTTCTATGGATATTAAAATTTTATAATACCCAACATTTTTATCACTTAAAACATTTTATTAAAATAAGTCCTGATAGACATTTTTATACAATCTTGGATTTTTTCAGTACGATGGTATATGTAGAATTACTCAAGAACATTTAAACTAAAACTTATTCAACGAAGACTGAGTAAGTCTCCGTAGCTCCTACCATGGTAGGCTGAGACCATGACTCACATTTCCAGCTATGTTCAACTTAATTACTGCCTCTAGGAAACTACTGGTTCTATTTAGCAGGCTCTGTACTTGAGTCAACGTACTCAAAAAATAGTCATCTTGACATGGAGAGAAAGTGGCCAAGAAAATTTTTTGCATTTGTAAGCAGACAGGTCTGATGTTTGTAACTGTAGTTTGTAATAATTTATATGAGTCTCATCTTCTATACATTAGAGAACACATCAGTATGTCCAGAGATGGATCAGAGGACATACTAAATTAAAAAGCCCAGTCCCCGTCTGTGCTGCCTCTTGGTTCCTTCTCATTACTGGCTGCTGGGATAAAGAAAACTAAGAACAGCAGCCACAATTCACACTAGAATCACCTGGGAAGGGCTAATGGAATACAGACCTGATTCCCAGGCAATTCTCATGTGCAACTGGAAGATTTCTGCTATAGATCCTATTAATACATCATCAAGGGTGCAGTCTGGTTTGAAGATCCCTATGACAGAAATGACTAGAGTGGTCTTAGCTTTTAAAGTTCGTCAGATCTAGCCCACAACAGCCCTGCTCACATCCTCAGTGGAATCCCATCTCATGAGGGCTGGAGAGATGGGATACTACGTATGGAAAGGCAAAAGCAATGGAGCCATTTCAGAATTCCCTCGACACCACACTGACTTAACCAAGGGCTCGTAGGATGGCTGTTTAGTGGGCTGTAAGAAGGATCATGGCAGGTGAGGGGTCCTCCACACGGTAAGGGTCCTGCTTGTGGCAGCATCATACACATGGCATGAACAGCTGAAGCTAGCCAAGTACCTTCATCAGAATCCCACCCAGAGTCTGACACTGTTAAACAAGTCCCTCCTTCCCTCCCTTCCGACCCAACTTAGGAGTCAGTCTTCCTATGCAGTCCAGGCATAGGGAATCCTCCTTCCTTGGCTTTCCGAATACTGGGATTACAGTGTATACCACCATGCCCAGCTCAAGTTCTTTAAGTTTTAGAATCCAGAATGATACTTATGTTAACAGTCTAGGAATTTTATTTCAAGGAGAGTAGAGAAACACTAGTAAATGCAGGGATGGTGAGATGCCCCAGCAGGTACCCCCCCCAAATGTAATTAAAAATTTAAAAGACTAATAAATGTGATGTGTGTAAACTTGAAGTGAGTTCAGTATTTTGCTTCCTGCTTAGTTCTTTTTTTGGAATAACAGGTAATACAGGTTTGGATTTTAGCTGATTGCTAAGTTATAAAGCGATTAGATGTTCATTACTTTATATAATAAAACTGAGTATATGTGACCCAGTGTTACATAAGGTTCATAGTTACTTCAGCAATAAATACAAAACCATGTACAGAAACACCTTGGAAATATGCTTAGATACTGCTTATGTATTTGTCTATAAAACTGTAATTTTATTTGAAATTTCTAACCCTAAGTGATCAGAAAAGTATGTAGAAAATGTGATGCTTAATTCTACCTTCTTTCTTGGTTTTGAGTTATGTTGGACTAATGCATTTTGATTTAAAAATCCCATCAATGAGGAAAGAAAGAAGAGATGGTGCGGGAGAGTAGACGGGATCAAAGCATGGTGCATACACACATGGGAACACCACAGTGAGATTCGTGAATTTATACAATCAGTACGTATCAGCGAAGTTGGGGAAAGCTGAGTGTGCCTACAAGCCTACAAACAAGTTTAAGAGTGACAGCAAATGATCCCCCCGCCCTGCCGTCCCCAGGCATAGTCTCGCTCTGTGGCCCAGGCTAACCTTAAATTTGTGGCAGTTCTCCTGCCTCAGTTCCACAAGTGCTGAGATTTCAGGTGTCTGCTACCATACCTGGCTATAGTCAATGATTTCTGCTTTTAGTGTTTTGGCCAGGGATCTGAGAGACACAGATGAGAAGCTTAATTTTAGGATGTTGGTCACCTACTGCTGAAGACAGAACATACTTCAGACACGGGATTTGGAACAATGGAGCTGGAACTGACCACTTCCCCTGAAGGCTAGCTCTCATAGCTTTGGAGGGCACTATGAAGGTGCCAAGGGAAAACATGCATCGATGGTCCAACCAGCTTCAAGACCAAATAACCACATCAATGGCCAGCACGGCGTATGGCATTGGTGCAGTAGTGGCATTTTTATCTTGGGGGCAATCAACGGCTATCTAATTGGACTAAAAGCCCACTCAAGTGTGGTAATATAAACCTAACTAAATATACATGGCTGGAGAGGTCATAGATCTTAGAGAAAACCCCGAGACTGTCACATCCCTAACTAATGTAATTTCTTGCTATGTGCATATTTACAAATACCCCAGTCACTACTCATCCAAGAAGCTCATTTTACACCAGTTGGAGACTATTACCAAGTATCACAACTGGTCACATACAGACATTGTCTAAGAATTGCCCAGGCCCAAGCAACACATCTACAATGCAATCTCTACACCTAAGGCGCATGGAACATAGAACAGGGGTAATGAAACAACACCAATGAAACTCTCAGTTCTCATTAATGAAGATCCCTCATGTAACAGAGGGACAGGAAAACAAAAGGTCACAAATGGCCAAAATGTAGAGATTAAGCATCTGAAGACTGATGGTCCTTGGACAGGACTCCTACATTAAACTTCACCCACCCAGGGCTCAGGGACCATTATGGAAGAGGGGGTGGAAAGATTGTAAGAGTCAGGGAGGAGGTGCATGACCCTATGGAAACAGAGTCCTACAAGCTCCTGGGACCCTGCTTATATGATTCTATGGCAATGGTGTCAGCATACAAAAGTTCCATGCATACCAAAAAAGACAAAAACTCAGCATTACTGGGGAAATAAACAGAAGACCCCAATCTCAGCTAAAGAAATATTGGCAACTGATTACTGCTAGGTGAAGAGATGATCTTCCTAAAACAAGAGACTCTAGATAGACTGACTAGAGCTCAGTGGATGGACTTGCACTGGGGAACATCTTACTTGACACACTGGGCCTTAATAGGGATGACAGAGTTTATGAGTTCCAGTGTGGGGGCTATGGGAGGGTGCCGGTGGGGATGGGAATATAAAGATGATTAAGATTGTTTGAGATATTTTGTATAAAATACACAAAAAATTCAATAAAAAAAGGAAAAAAATGTTGGTCACGACTAGAAATATAGAACCGAAATTGCAGCTGTTCTGTTCCCTCTCCATATCTTATTAGTTTATCTCTTGTTTTAACCACTGCTTAGTCAAACAGACGGTACATGGGAACCCACCCAGTGCTTACATCTGCAAACAGTGTCAGGCAGTGGCTGGTCAGTCTCCAGGAGCAGTCCTTGATTACTGGAGAATGGAGCCAGTTCCCTGTTAACTGACGTAATCCCCAGTGCTTCCGCACATTTGTCAGTAGCGTCAGATGAAGTCCAGGCTGCTTATCATTGCCATTTGATGCTGACCCTTATTTCCTACCTTGGTATCATTTTCCAAAGAAAACTTCTGCAAACAAGTCCATTAAGGATGCTTATGCTGCAAGCTCTGCCTTCTGATGGAAACCCAGGGAAGGCCACAATAAAAGGAAACACAGTGATCAGTAGAAAAGCAAAAGGATGAACTCCAGCTGAGAGAACAGGAGCCAAGCCAGGAGCTTTGTGGTAAGGTCCAGACAGGTGGAAACAGCTACCAACAAGGACCAGTTCAATTATTGACGAGAAATAAAAGATCAGAGTGTTGATACACGGGGATTAAGTCTACACTCTGAATTCTAATCTATCCAATGTCTGCCTAGTTTTCTTAGCACTCTGCCATTATGTCCTATCCTATTATAAAAACTTTCTGGGCTTCATGTCTGCAACCCTCAACCCCATGACTTCCAAGCTCAAATAGGCTGAGGATCGGGGGGTGGGGAGAGGGAGAGAGGGAAAAATGGAGGAAAGGAGGGAGAGAGCGAGAGCACTGGGCATGCCTGTAATCTCAGTGCTTGGAAGGTAGAGGCGGGAAGACCAAGGTAAGCCTGGCTATATGAGACTCGGTCTCAATCAATAAAGAATGGAGTGGAGGGGGAAGAGTAGGGGTGAGGGAGATAGATACAAAACCATTCTTAGCAGAAAGGCATAAGAAAATCAAATACTCAGTGCCATGAGATCAGTTTGGGATAGGAAGTGTTAAAAAGCAGCCTCTAGCTTCTTCAGCTTGCTGCATCAAATGCCTATTCTCCATCCTGCCCCCTCTCCATCCTGCTCCCGCGGCTCTCAATCTTGCCTGGAAATAGAAGCTCCAGGACCCCTTAAAATATTAGAGAGAATGGGACCTTGCTTGGTGCTCAATAGAATGAAGTTGCTGAATTGACATGGACAAAGAATGCATC